GGCCGGCGGCCACGGTCACGGCGGCGAGGCTGGCTGTGGGGGCAAGAGCTCGGGCCGGCACCGGGCGCAGGGCAGCGAGCGGCCCGAGCTGGGCCGGAGCATGAGCCTGGCTCTGGGGGCCGTGACCGAGGAGGAGGCTGCTCGACTGCGGGCGGGAGCCCTGATGGCCCGACCAAACTCGCCACAGTCTTCGGGGACCGGGCGGTGGCGTTCACAGGAGGTGCTGGAGGGAGCGCCCCCGACCTTAGTGCAAGCCCCCATCGGCCTTAGCCCCCACCCCGAGGGCGACCCCGGCAGTGGCCGCTTGGGTTTGCGCCGACGCTCCACAGCTCCAGACATCCCCAGTCTGGTTGGGGAGACCCCAGGGCCCGAGAGCGGCCCAGAGTTAGAGGCCAACGCTCTGCCCCACTCGGTGCCTGGGCCTCAGCCTTGGCAGGAGGGCACGGAGGCCGTGGTGCTGCACTCTCAGCGGTGAACAGCGTCGACGCCGAGCCCTGCTCCCCCCTACCCTTCCGTCTCTGCTCCACTGGGATTTCTCTCTTTCTTCCAGGTCCCTCACTTTCCTGGCAATTTCCTGCCGGTGATCCCAGGGCCCGTCCCCACTGCCAAGGCGAGGTGCCCTCTTTCTAAAAGGGACCTCTATCTTATTTCTTTTTTGTGCTTGTTGGTATTCCCTGCCTAAGTCTCTCATCTTCCCTGCAGCCTGCCTTTCCTGTCCTGGAAGGTGAGGAGTAGAAGACTGGTTCCATAGCCTTCCAGCCAGGAAGATGGACCCCCTACCCTGTGCCCCAAGGCTCAGTCCTGAGTCCTGCTGGCTCCTGCCCCATCCCCTTCCCCTTGCGGGTTTCCCCACACCCTGGCAGCCAGGCAGGCAGACCAGTGGTCCTGTAGAACAAAGGCCTACCCCCACTTCCCGCCCCCCCCTCCAGCTGACAATAATGGAGGTTATTATTGTCCTCCATTAGGAGAGCTGATTAGGAAGGAATGTGGAGGTTAAATCTGGGGAGGGACAGAAATTCCTGCCTCAAGACAAAGCACATTTTGGGGGTGGCAGAGTCCCCCCCCCCCCGTGTTGAACACCAGTTGCCCCTTGAACCAGCTTCTGGGTAATTCCTGCCCCAGGCGGACCCAGGATTCAACTTGGTTGACAATGTGGGGTCATTGCCTCACCCCAACCCCTACCCAGCCCATCTCTGGGCTCCGAGCCAGCCTGTTCTTCGGCTCTGCCTCATTTGAGTTCCATCTTTGAGGTCTCACCCCTCATAGCCCAGCCTTATTTCCTCTCACTCGCAGAGGCCTGAAATGGAAAGGACTTAGCACACACCCCCTCCACCACCTCCCAGCTCCCCCGTCCCGCACGTGGGTGCTCCCGCAGGTTGGAACGGTTGTGAAGGCTTTGCTTAATTGTATTTCTTCCAGTCGTCAAAGAACTCGTGTTTTGAGTCTCTTTGTATATGAAGCAGAAAGCAGCGGGTCTGATCCGAGGCTTAAGAACCTGACAATGTCTCTTTAAATAGAAGCTCCGCAAGGGGGATAATTGACTGAAGTGTTTGCCACGTTAAACGGCGGCGGCGGCGCGGGAGTCGGAAGCCCACACAAGCCACAGGTCCGGGTTTAAATTACATCAAACTCCGGCGAGAGCTGGAAGAGGGCTGTTCAACGGCTCCTGCTCCTCGCTGGGCCCTTAATGGAGGGGAGGGCGGATGATGGATTCTAGAGGTCGCGACCAAGGATCCCTGCCTCTGCCCCAACGCGTGGGACGCAGGCCCGGCCCAGCTTTATTAGTGGGCAGATTAGTGAGTCAGAGGCAACCGCGGAGAGGTGGTTAAGGGCCCTTTGCGGGCCTGGTCCTTCGTCCCCTCCCTCCCCGCCCCCGCCCTCCTCCTTGTGCTGGCCTAGCGAGGGGAAACTATGGGGTCTGGCGAATCCCGTGCCCTAGGACCCTGCGGAAGCACTAGCATGTGTATCCGTGCACCCAGCCTGCGGGGTGGCGGCTCATAGGGGCTTTTTTGTGTGTGAACTCCGAAGGTTGAGCGTGCACCCCCTCATCTACCTGCAGTCGGGTCTTTTCAAGACGTCGGTCTGTTCGTCTTTGCAGAACGGAAGGTTTCTCACCAGTAACTAAGGGAACTGCCCAGAGAGAGAATGACCTGTGCTGAGAAACTGGGCCTGGAGGTGAGGGGTCGGTGATCAGGAGCTGGCCTTGTGTAGGTGTCAGACGCCGTCCCAATCCTTCCACCCCTCCAGGGTCAGCGAGGCCGCGAGGGCCCCGAGACTGGACGTGATCTCTGGTGCCCCCTGGTGGCAGCGCGGCGCTCTCGGTGCTGCGCCCTAGCTCAGCGTTCGGACTTGTGGTTATATTTGGGATCACCGGTGTGTACTTCTCCCTCCGTGTGCATTTACCCGTGGAATCCTCTTCCTCTTGTAGTATATTAAATCCGGATACTTGAAGTCATTTCACAAGAGTGAAATGAGGGACAATAAACAAAAAAACTCGCATTTGGAGTAGCAGGAGCCCAGACCCTTCGCTAAGGACCCCAAGATCTTCCAAGTTAAGGCTCCCTGTCCTGAGAGTTCCCGCTGTCTTCTGAAAAACTGGAGCCCCCTACTCCTCCCTTATGAGACCTGAACCTCGGGAACTACTGATTATGCACTGTTTTCTTCTGATGAGATTTGCTTTCATTTCTGGGGTGTCTCGCCCTTCCCCGTCTCCTCAGCCCCTCTGTCTGGGTGGTGGGTGAACAATACCCGAGGGCCTGAAAAGCCAGAAGGAGAGGACCTGGGGTGGGATGGGGGATAATTGGACACCCCAAGTGCAAACTCCTTTTTTCTGATCTTTGCTTGCTCACTTGATCCCTTTCCAACTGTGTTTAATTTTCATGAAGTTTTTAATGGTGTAAGAATACAAGTATTTTGGCTTCTTCAAAACACCATGAGGTCTGGGTTGCACACTGTGTTGAAGGTGCTGTTATCTTTCAAGTGTGACTGACATGGGGCTTTCTGGTTGAATGTCACCTTGAGCCCTCTGAATGGGGTAAACAGCCATGAGGGCTCCTCTTGGTGGAGTGGCCAAGGACTTGGTGGTTGAAAGTGATATTTCTAAAAAACCACAGCAGATCTTTCCTGTCTGATCTGAATTGTGTGTTTGACTGCCTTGCTGTTCTTGCAGATTTCTTAGCAGGCCCAGCTCTGTGCAGAACTTACAGGGTTCACCACGTTTCACTCTCCTGAACTTCCTCTCATTGTCAGCCCCAGGGCATTGTGGCTGGGGTCCTCTTGAGCTCGCTTCACTTTACAAGAGACTTTTCTAAACACTGCTTTTCCAACTCTTGTTGCTTTTGTCGTTGTGAAGAGTCGCCCATGCCACTGGAGCTCCGTACTCTGAGAGCAAGCTCAGAATTGGTCTGTGTGTGAGGCTAAATGAGTACGCACATGCTTTTAGAGTGACAGTGTGTGGTGGAAGGACTATAAGAACTCAAAAGAATAGTTATTAAATCCAGTATTATTCACTTGTGAGAACTGGCCTCTCTTTGCCCTACCCACCACTCCTGACTCTGGGCTCCCTTTGGAGAGGTGGAAGGGTGCTCTTCCTTTCTGCGAAGGTTCCGCCCTCCACCAGCCTCCGTCTCTGCCCCTCGCATGTGGCTGCCTCCTGAGGGTAAGACTCAGGCACTGCTCCTGACTGAGCTGGTGGGACTGGGGCCCTCGGACCAGGGCAGCTGTCTAGGTGGGAATGCTGTGGGGACAGGAGAAGGTCTGCATGACTCCTTGGCTCCTGGTTAAGAGGTTTCCATGAACTCTGGGTTAGGGGGCAGGACAAGATCTCAGGAAGGAAGTACTGGAATCAGTGTCAGAGCTACAAGTTTAAAGATAATTTCATCCACCTCCCCCACCCTCAGGACCAGAACCTAGGTTTCTGAATTTCCAGCCTTTACTGCTCTTTCACAACTCCTCACTGTCCGCCTCAGTTCCAGGAACCGAAACCGAGACTGCTTTCTCACTGGAAGCAGTTCCAGGCCACTTTCTATGGACACCTTGAGGAGAGCAGCCTCGGACTTTCAGGGGGTGAGAGGCAAATGGGGGAAGGGAGAAGCTGCTGCAGAAAGTGGTCATCAGCCCTGGTGGCTGCCCCCAGAGCCCCTGTGGTGCCAGCAAGCACAGCCCTCGGCCCTGGCTTCCTGGCTGTGCTCTTCTCCCCTGGGAAGGAGCCCTGTCTATTTCTCAGCTCTTTCAGTCCCAAGGGCCTTTCACTTCCTGTTTCCCTCCTTCTCTGCCCTCATTTCGGGCCCACAAGCCACCAGGGAGTTGGGTTTTCTATGGACTAGAGTGACTGCTGGGGTGCTCACGTGGGGGAGGAGGGGGGGCCGCTCCAGACACCCACTACTGGGTGTCCAGCTCGAAGACAGCCTGGCTCCACTCCCAGAGACAACAGGAAGCCCAGAGGTTTTGAACACTCAGTTTAATTTAAAACAGGAACAAGTGCAAACAATTCACAAAAGTTTCTAGGGAAGATGCTTTTGTTTTTAAAACTCTGACCCTTAAAAAAAAAAGTCCTTGCAGTTTTTTTGTTTTTTTTTCCCCCAAAGCAGGCCACTAGGGAGCAGAGGAATCTAAAAATATTATCTAGATAGGGTCCAGACACCTGGAGTTCTTCCCTGGGATTCCCTGTCTCACAACAGCCCTGCAGGTGGGGAGGGAAGGAGGACAAGGAGACAGGTGTCTGAGGAGGCAGCTGGGGCAGATGGTTTGCGCAAACGGGGTGCCCATTCTCTTGACGTGACGGAACCCCGGGAGCTGGTTCGCCTCCCCCAGACCACGGTTTTGAAAAGAACGGGTCCCTGATGACCTGGTTATTGAGATGGCACTCACAGGGAAAACAAAGTTTGCTCCCTCACCATTCCAGTCTCTGGCTCTCAGACTCCACATACAGGAGAAACTCAGACACCTGCCAAGCCCCGAGGTGTTAGACTCAATCGAGACCTCCTCATGGTCAAGTAGAAACATGGAACTTAAGAGGTGGGAAGCTAGGCCAAGAAAGCAGGTCCCTTCAGAGCAGAACTTAGTGGGAAAGAGGATGGGGAAGCCCTCCTGAAGCTGGCTATGGGTGACCTGAAGGGAGCCAGGCTGTCAGGGTGACCTTCCTCCACTTACACACACATGCACACACACACAGGTGTGCACACACACATGCAACCTGTAAAGTGAGGCCACCTCTACCACCAACCCCGTTCTTTTCTTTCACCCAGAAAGTGCCCCTCCCCCTCCCACAGCCTGTGAGCAGGCTGTTCACAGTTCGGAGCAGGCTGTGCAGGGAGAGTGTTGTCGGCGCAGGTGGGTCGGGAAGCAGGTGCAGGTGGGACCGTGCCTTCAGGAAGTCAGACACAAGGGAGGAAGATGGATTTAGGCAATAAAACCCTTCCCTGTGGCCCTCTCGAGACCCCAGGGTTTGGAACTGGAGCTGAGAACAGCAAGTATCCTGGTGAAGACAGGCAGGCTGCCCTCTTGGGGGGCCTGGGGTGCTAGTGTACAACTACCTTTAAAAACCGCAGCAGCCTTTTCTGCTGTGTTGGCTGCAGTGGCCAGGAGCGCTGGTCTCTGCGTTTCTTAGAAATATCCCTGTGCAAATAACAAAGGGTCATCCTGCAGAAGGGTCTCCATCATCCCAAAGGCAACTGGGGACTCACTGGGGAGGGAGAGAGACCGAGAGGGCAGGTCCGGCCTGGCCCAGTGGGCTGAGGGGCAGGAGGGCGGGGAGGGGGCTTCACATTCAATCTTTGGAGAGAATACTGAGAGAATGCCGGCAGGCTGGCTGCCCGGTGTCCCCTGCCTGTGGGCATAGGTGGCAGGCGCACTCTGGGGGTGGGCTCAGCAGGCGGAGGTCTGCTTGCGGTAGAGCTGGATCAGGGGCACCAGGCACTCGGGCAGCCCCGTCTGCAGCAGGAAGGGGTGGTCCAGGAGCTCCTGGGCTGTGGCTCTCTCCTGGGGGTCCCGCACCAGCATCCGTTCCAGGAAGTCTCGCAGCACCGGGGAGACCTGTGGAGACAGGGCAGCGAGAGGAAGCCACAGTTAGCAGTCACTTTGGGGTGACCCATCTGCCTGGCCCCACCATCATTTGGAAGTCTTAAATTCTCTCCTTTCGTACTTTCTGGTTCCTCCCAGGCTCAGTACTTTTTGGATTATCAGGTAGGTAAAGAAAGTCAGCATCAGTGCACAGAAAGTGGACAGTTCACCTCTAGGGGGTGCTGCTGAGCAGTGGAATTAGGGTGCCTGGAGCGCTGGGGAGCTGGTCTCAAATACAGCCGGTTCCCCACCCTGCTCCTCAGGGCTCTCAGTGTTCAGGCCCTGCAGCTCTGTGGAAGGGCCATAAGATTGGTATCAGTGATCCAGTCCTGGGTCTATCCCAGATTGACAAGTTGCAATTTTCTCTACACCTCAATTTTTTCATCTGCAAAATGGGCCAATGATAAAATGTTCTTGCCCTGTTTGCCACAAAGTGCTTTCGTGAAGACTAAAAATAAAGATCAGGGAGGAAGAAGTGTTTTGAAAAATAGAAAAGAACAAGGTGGGACCTGAAAAGGAAGATTTCTTTATTGCTCTAAGCCTTAGAAACTAAGTCACAGGATTATCTTGGTTCATTTTGAGCCAATATCTTGGGATGAAGCTGAGTCTTGGGCTGTTACAGAAGGCTGCATCCTCTGGGGAATTAGCTAGTTGGACATCTCTCCCATCTGCTAATCTTGGGGTCAGCAGTGCAGACTCCAAGGACCAGTTGTCTGGGAAGGTGTTTCCTGTCTGTCCTCACAACCAGCCGTGTTAGGGACAGAACTATATTGCCATTTAGGGTCTGGGCCTCAACCCTCTGGGACATTTCTCACTCTGGCCACCAGATGGCAGTGCAACTTCGCAGCCCTGTGCTGACCTGGCCACCAGCAACGGGTGACCATAGGTACCTCTGCGACTTTGGATGGATTTGACGGAAAAGGGTTAAACACACACACACACACACACACACACACTGGCTCAGATGTGGTCAGGATGTGCATTGATGGAGGATAAGCTAATTTTCTGTGATAGATTGGGAACACTGTGCCACGGTATGGCTCCCTGATGGGGTGGAGGGGTTCCCGCTCAATTAGCTTCTCTGATTCCTCCCCAGGACATCAGGGATTCCTGGCAGCCTTGCTTTCCCTTTTATTGGGCTCCTGTCAATCGCCTGCAGGTGGAAACTTTTTGGAGTGACCATGGGAGTTTGTGTGTAGATGTGGCTCCACACTCAGGGGCGGGTTTTGTGTGGGGAAAGAGGAGTCTTTTCTAGGAGCACAGAGCCTCTGGCTTCTGTGGACGAGAAAGGCTGGGCCTGGGAGCCCAGGCTCTGGTCCTCTAAGCCTCAGGGAGAATGAGGTCTGCGGGGTCACACCTTGTGCAACGACTGACCTTGTGAGAGTTTTTCAGCTTGGGTGGAGGGTTGTCCCGAAGCCTCTTCATGGCTTGCACTGGGGAGTCACTGAAGTAGGGTGGCTCCCCATCCACCATCTCAATCACCATGATGCCCAGAGACCAGATATCCACCTGCAGGAGGAGAATGTCCCTGACTCCACTGGCCAGAGTGTGGCCCTTTGGTAGCAGCGTACTGTAGGGGGAGGGGAGCAACTGGTCCCAGCTCTCCTTGGTGAAGTCAGCCTCCTTCCTGGCCACCTGCCCTGTGGTCAGTTACTTCCTGCATGAATGACCATTGACTGTAGGGACATAGCTGTCAGCCACTCTCTGTGAAAGGCCATCACACATGGGTAAGCCTGGCCATACCCCACTCTGCCCTTGAGCTGAGGGAGGGCATTTTCGATACCAGTTTGTGGCAACAAAGTCACAGGTGAGAGCAGACCCGTCCAAGAGGGGGCAGGGGCAGTAGGCAGTGGGGTGGGGTGCTGACTAAGTGGGAACTGAGGACCAGGGCTATTTTTGGTGCTCCAGAGGGGGCCACAGTGGAAGAGCCGTGTATTCCGAAGCCTCCTCTGGGAGGACTAGGGGATGGAGGGAATGGTTACCTCAGTCGCATACAAAGACCTGGAGATCACTTCAGGAGCCATCCAGTAGGGGGTTCCCACCAGAGACTTCCTCTTAGGGACATCTTTGCTGATCTGAGCACAGAATCCAAAGTCTGAGAGTTTCACCTGGAGTTGAGGTGAGAGGGAGAAAGGGGAGTGAGTGGTGAACTAGGAGAAGGAGCCGTGCTGGGAGCAGGGAAGTGGGGGGCGTGCATGTGCCAGCGTGGGGTGGACCCTACCCTGCCATCGAGGGTCAGCAGGATGGAGTCACTCTTGATGTCCCGGTGGATGACACCCTGGGCATGCAGGTAAGCCAGGGCCTGAAGCACAGCCTCACACACGGTGGCGATCTGCTCCTCATTCAGCCTGGACAGGGAAGGCAGGACCACCGGCGGAAAAGAATATTAGCTTTGTCAGGGCTGCAAGGCAGCTGGGCTGGGCAGAGTCGGTGCCCCTGGTACCAGGCTCCACAGCTCTGGGGCAATGTGTGCAGCAGCCCAGTCAGGCCAGAGCCCTGGCGAGAATGGGCTTGGGCCTAGACTGGAGACCACTTTGTCTTCCCCATTCCCCTGTTTGTGTCTGTTAACCCAAAGAGACAAGGGGGACCTCAGGACGATCTAACACGCACCCCAAGTCTTCTGTGCCTGAGGCTGCCCAATGCCCCTGCTAGGACAGTGGTGGGGGCAGCCAGCACTTGGGGCCCAGCTCTCCCAGCTGCCCACCTGACTTGGGAGACGATGTCCGTGAGGGCCCCGCCCTGCAGGAACTCCATAAGCACCCACAGCTCCTCGCCCACCAGGTAGCTCTTGTACATCTCCACCACGTTGAGGTGCTGGTAGTCCCGCATGATCACCACCTGGGGGGCAGGCGGGGATGTCTGAGTGCTAGCCACTGTCCCCACTGCCCCTGCTCCCCATGTCCTGCCTGGCCCCATGCTCACTGCCCATCCCAAACGCCCCGCCCACATCCCCGCCCTCTCCTCCCACCTCATTAAAGAGCAGCTCCCTGCGCTGCTGCTTCCTGAGGTCCATCATCTTGACGGCCACCTGGCGGCCCGAGTGCTTCTCCCGGGCCAGGCAGACGATGCCCGTGGAGCCCTCGCCAATCTTCACGTAGCTGTCCAGCAGCAGCCGGGGGTCACCCTGGTCCACCACCATCCTGAGTGCAGCCTTGAACTGCTCGTGGGTCACAACGCCCGTGTCCTCGCCAGCCAGGGCACCCTTGGCCACCGCGGGGTCGTGGGGCAGGTACAGGTTGCTGGTGCTGATCTGGGCATGCCGGGTGCGGGGCGAGCCCGCTGGGGAAGACCTGCCTGGAGGCGGGCCGGCGGCTGGGGCTGTGCGGAGGGACTTCTGGGGGCTGCTGGTATCTGAGGTGGTCAGAGGGCTGAAGATCCCCACAGGCTGATCCGAAGGCAAGGACTGCGCCTTGCCCACCAGGCTTGGCGGGGAGCCTTTCTGCAGTGGTCGGAAAGAGGAGCTGGGCTGCAGGGAGGAAGAAAGAAACAGAAAGGAGTTTGGCTGTGGTAGCGTTTGGAGCAAACTTCCCCGAGGCAGGGGATGGCTGCCAGGACCTCTGGGCATGGGCAGGGTCATGCAGGCCTCAGACCAAATTGGGGAGGTGCTGCGAGCTGAGATTTTCAAAGGGAGCTGAAGCCAAAGCATAGTCCTGCTCGGGAAACCAGCCCCCGATGTTCCTAGGTGAGCAGATGAAACAACAGCTCTTTACGTCTACTCTGCTGCTCCTGGGAAGACGAAGAAAGCCGAGTCCCTGGGGTGTCCTTGTGCTGGGTATTTCTTCCTGGGTAATTGACAGCTAGACCCCAGGGAGGCCACCAGGAGGCAGCTTCACTCTGTGCTGTGGGAATCTGGGTCAGGGGCATTCATCCTGTGGCTCCTGCACCCAGGGGCCCATATGGGCAGAAGAGGCCTGGGCAGTGGGGTGGGGGGCAGCGGGGCAGCTATGACTGACTCCCAGGACAGGGCAGGGAAGCCGCAGCGGGGGTCTGATAGCCCTGCTTGTGCCTGACAACAGGGAGTTTGCATGTCTGTGCTGTGAGATTATGTCCCCAACAGAGGACCACAGAGCCCTGTTACCATTCGGGGGGTTCTCAGGTGTCCCCTGGGTTGGGGATCTGGTGCCAGGGAGATCTCGAATCAGTAGGTCTAGCCAAATCCAAGCCAGGGGTGGGGAGAGTTCCTAAAGGCTCCCCAGACCAGCCCCTCCATTTGCTCCCAAGCATGAGACGCCTGGCTGATGACCCCCAGCAAGGAAGGGAGGGCAGGGGGCCTATCCTTATGATCTCCGCCAGGAGGAGAGAAAGGTGGAGCTGAGTAGCAGAGTGGGCCCCTGGTGAGCCCTGCTCAGGCCCAGCCCTGGAAGCCTTCAAGGCCCCTTGCCTGTCTGGGCCCAAGCCCTCCCGCCAGCCTGGCAGGAAAGGGTCCCATCCTTGGGTTCTCCCGAGGGAGTTGGCGATGTGCAACCTGACTCCTCCCAGGGATTATGTGTGTTTAAAAGGGGCTCCTGGAGAGGGTGACGCGTCACCTAATGGAGGACACTTCAGGGCTGCAGAGCGGCCTCCCAGACATCTCAGAACCCAGCACACAGGCGGCTGTCTAGGTGCCCACTGGGTCCTGGTCCTGACCCCCAAAGCTGAATCAACTTCAGGGAATCTCCCTCACATTCAGCTGGGGCTGGGCTGCTTGATCAGGGACCCCAGTCTAGGCCTTGGGTCCTACCAGGCTCAGCCAGAGCCTGTTCCGCTTCTTCAGCACCCCCTCCCCAGGCTTCAGGGCTCCCACCCCCAGCCCAGTCCCTGCCCTTGCCTGGAGTGGAGCATGTGCACGGTGACCCCTGCCAGCAGAGAGCCCCGGGGCAGATTCTCCCACTCCCGCCTCTGCCTGCCCTCTGACAGGCCGTGCCAGGCTCGGGCTCAGCCTCCGCAGTGAGGGAGCCAGGAAAGCCTCCCAGCATGGCTGCGATGACTCCATCCCGCCCAGCAAGCAGATCTGGACAGATGTAAAGAGATTCTCCCAGGTCAGCACCTGAGCCTCCCCCACCTTTCTCCACTCTGTGCTCCAGAGCAGTGGGACCTCAGGACTGGGGGTCAGGTTCCAGTCCTGCTCTGCTCTGATGTGCAATGAATCTTAGGCAAGTCACCCTCTCTGAGCCCTGGTCTCCTCTATAAATGCAGTGCCTGGGGAGCTGGATAGAATGCAGATTCCTGGGCCAGAGACTGCTTCAGTAGGTCCCTAGAGTAGACACTCTGCATTCTAACAAGGCCCCTGGGTTTTGATGGAGGAGGACAGTGGACCACACTTTGAGCAGCTCTGGACAAAGGGGCTTTGGGTCCATGGCCTCACGGAGCCTGCGGGAGGGCTAGGACTGCGGCTGGAGGGGGCATGGCACCACTGAGGCTGGGAGACCATGTCATGGAACAGGTTCCACGAGATGTCACCCTGCAGGCCTCACTGCATCACACAGTCACCGAAGCAGCCCCCAAGTCCCTGTAAAAAGGCTGCTTGCTGACCTTTGGGGCGTGGACCTAAGCCAGAAAATGGCCTCTCTGAGCATCTGTGTGGGGCTGGGCAGAGCATGGGGACCTAAAAGCACCTACAGCTGTTCCTGAGGCTGCTCGAACCACCCTTGACTTCTCTCACCCTGAGTCTCTAAGGAAGGCTGTGAAACGATTCCCTTCACCTCCTGGCCTCCCGGCCTCCTGCACAGCTGTCTCTGCTCTGTGGACCAGTGAGTGTGGTGGAGGGATGAGGACAGCCATGCGGAGGGGCTGAGGAGGGGATCTGCTTCCCTCCACTGTCAAGGCCCCTGTGGAGACACTGCTGCAGCTGCTGGCTGAGCTCGGGGCCAAGGGTGCAGTGAGTGGTGGAAGCAGCAAACGCAGGGATCAGTGGAGAGTCCGGCACCCACGTGGCCTGAGACATGGGACACGGGTGATGGGGCCGGGCTCGGTCTTCACCTCAGCAGGGTCTGGTCCCAAATGTCCCTCTGTTGGCCTTACTGCCTGTCTCCACAAGGAGGAAGCTTTTACTTAATGTAGTCACAAGAAAGGACCAGATGAAACCTGTTAAACCCCACTAAGAAAGGGAAAGGGGGACAAAAGATGGAATGAATTGTTAAGGCTCTGGGTTAATTCTGGAGTTACTTGTGTGACTGAAACCTCTTCCTGGGCCAGAAGCCCCTAGAAGAGTCGTGTGTGGAGTTACAGCAATGCCTCATTTTCCCTTCCTGGGGCATGGTGACAGGGCTGGGCTCTCCAGCTGTGGGCTTGGAGGGCTGTACCATAAGTTCCCCAAAGGCAGAGGCCACGTCATAATATTTAAAAAATAATAAACTCAGGGGCCGGCCCGGTGGCGCAAGCCATTAAGTGCGTGCGCTCCCCTGCTGGCGGCCTGGGGTTCAGATCCCGGGCACGCACCGACGCACCACTTCTCCAGCCATGCTGAGGCCACGTCCCACATACAGCAACTAGAAGAATGTGCAGCTATGACATACAACTATCTACTGGGGCTTTGGGGGAAAAATAAATAAATAAATAAAATTATTTAAAAAAAGATATTAAAGAATGTTCATAGATTGGAAGACTCAATATTGTAAAGATATCAATTATTTCCAGTTAACCTACAGATTTATTTCAATCTCAGTCAAAATCCCAGCATATTTCTTTTGGTAGAAATTGACAAACAGATTCTAGAATATATAGAGAAACATAAAAAACCAGGAATAGCCGAGACAATCTTGAGGAGCAAAGTCAGAGGATTACACTACTAGATATCATGACTTACTATAAAGTTACCATAATTAATATAGTCTGGAACTGGCACAAAGATTGATGAATAGACCAATGGAACAGAAGAGAGAATCCAGAAATAGACCCAGTCATATAAGGGCACTTAATTTATGACAAAGGTGACACTGCAATATGGTGGGGAACAGAGGATCTTTTCCATAAATATAGTTGAAGCAATTAGATATCCATATGAAAAAAGAGAAGAATCCTGAAGAACGAATTCATGTCATGGCCCAAAATTAATCAGATCTAAATGTGAAAGGTAAAATAATAAAGCTGGTGGGAGTGATGGGGGGGCAGGAGAGAAACCCAGTCTGGCCACGTCCTACCTTAGGTCTGGTGTGAGTGACCAGGTGGGACCCAAGTTTGGTGGGCTCTCCTGGAGCCTCTGACCTGCTGGGGCCAAAACCTGTCTACACTCATGGGTCCCAGAGACAAAATCTACCAAGGTTTTCTTTGTCCAAAGCAGAATTCTTTTTCTTTTTTTACAGGGAAAGATTCGGCCTGAACTAACATCCGTTGCCAATCTTCCTCTTTTTTTCCCCCCTCCCCAAAGCCCCAGTGCACGGTTGTATATTCTAGTTGTAAGTCCTTCTAGTTCTTCTATGTGAGCTGCCACCATAGCATGGCAACTGATAGACAGGTGGTGTGGTTCTTCGACCGGGAAGCGAACCCCAGCCGCCTAAGTGGAGTGTGCCGAAATTTAACCACGAGGCCATCAGGGCTGGCTCAGAAAGCAGAATTCTTGATGGCACAGGTTAGGAGTAGGGGATTCTTTCTAAAGATTTCATCTAGGTTAATTTGTAAATGCAGTACGAATACAATGAATATTTGAAGGAAATACAGCAAAATATTCATTGTGGTTGTGTTTGACTGGGGGGCCACAGGTGATCTCCTCCTACCCCATCTTTCTACTCTTCTAAATTTTCCTCAAAGATGATGGGCTGCTTTTCTAAAAAAACCAAAATATTTTTAAATAAAGGAAAGAGTGATCCATGAAAGCTGAGTTCCTAAGAGAACTCACCCAGTCAAGTACCTAGTGTTGCCAAGTCACTGGGTGTGAAACACCTGAGACACCACCGTGCTGCATCTCTCCAGCAGCGGGCCCTTGGAGCACATCCGCCTGCCCAGGCAGGGGCCTGCAGTTTGCCGTTTCTGGGTCTCCATCTTCCACCTCAGTTCCCTACCTTCTGACCCCAGCCCAAGGGCCCTGGGGCTGAGGGAGGGTGGGGCTGTATTAGCGGTGAGGCCATAGTGTTAAAGCAAATCAGGCCGTGCCAGCCCTTGAAGTTGCCATCCCTGGTATCTCCACCTTTTTGCATCCACACTCAATTCATTGAATGGAGGAGCTTTCCTCAAAGAAGATACTCCTGAGGAGGAAGGAAAAAGGAGGAAGGAGGAAGGAAGATGATTTTCCTTCAGAGAGCCAGTCCCTGCCTTTCCTTCTGCCTGGTCTGACAGAAGTGATCTGGGCCTGAGACTCTGAAGTAGAAATGGGCAGAGGAAGGGTGAGCGCTCAGGCTCGGGGCGACCTCCGCTGCCCCCACCCCTCCCATCTGACACCCCGCCCCACCACAGGTGAAGGAGGTGCTGAGGATTCTTTCTGAGGCTGGGATGCATTGCTGTGACTGAGGAATGTGATTGAGGAATGCTTTGAACTTTCCTCTTCTGAATGTCTGCAGACATTACTTTCTAGCAGGCCAGCTGGCCAGGCTGGCCTGTGACTGGACCAGAGGGGGACCCAGCGCCAGCGGGGGAGAGCCCAGCCCAAACTGGTTTGAGAAGGAAGTTCCCCCGGGCACAGCTCCAGCTGAGATGCTTCCTCCAGCCAGAGCCCGGCAGATGGGAGCCATCAGCGCCTAGGAGACGCTTTCTGGAGGAAATGCTGCCACACCCAGTAAACCCCAGGGCGGAGCTGGTGGAGGGTTCAGGGAGCCACAGACTGGGGTCACTGAAGGGTGGGACTGTCATGCCAGAGGAGACTCAAGACAGAACAGGAAGTAACTTTTCTTGAGCACTTACCATGTGCTAGGCCCTTTCCAAGGATCAACTCATTTAATTCTCACAACAACTCTGGGAGGTAGGAATTATTATTATTATCCACAAATCCAGATGAGGCTTAGAGAGATTAAATAACTTGCCCAAGGTCACAGAACCAGGAAACGATCGAGTTGGGGTTTGAACCCAGATCTGGTCCACCACGCCCACTCTGAGGGAGTTGGGCTGTTGTTTCTCTCCTTCCCGGAGGTCTCTGTGAGCAGGAGTGGGGCTGAGCAAACCTGATGAATTCATGGGAGTGTGTAGAAGGGGGTGGGCCGGAGCCAGCGCCCTCAACCAAGATTGCTAGGTTCTTTCCTGGGCTGATCTGTGAGTCAGAGGCCAGGGGAGACTGGGGCTGTCCTGACTTGCAGGCAGACCCTCATATTGTTTAGAACCAGGGATTTGCCCTGCAAGGGGTGGGTAAAATGTTCCAAAGAGTTCACGTCGGCAGCTGTGATGTCAGGGCCTGGCACATACGAAAAGAGCTGCAGAAACAGCAGGAGTGTATTCTCTGCAGCACAGGATGCATCCAGGTCCCCTCAGTAGGATCTCAGCCTGAAGCCAGGCAACCTGTAGGCTTGGCTCGAGGAAGTGTGGACAGAGCATTGTGGCTAATGCTACTGTTCCACAATGACAAGGGGTTTGGGTGGTGGGGCCCCCAGAGCAAGGCCCTGAGGCTTGGCTGGTCTACAGTCCACAAGGGAGATAAGCAGAGCAGCTGCGGTGGGTGGGTCACCCTCTCAAACTGCTTCGTCTCTGGGGGAGGAGACATCCATCTGCCAGGGCCTGGGTTGCCAGGCCACCAAGCTGCTGGGGACCCGCAAACCCAAGGCAGAGCTATAGAGAAATGAGTCTGTATTTAAACCTCAAACCAGAGCTCAGACCCTCAAATGAGCGCTGCCACGTGAGGCAGACTTGGGAGGGAATCTGCCTGTTCCCAACACGCTCTGGCACTTCCAGAAGTCCTCTTTGGGCCGCACCTTTGGGGCCCGTGTTGAGCCAACATCAACTGTTCTCCTAACCTGTCACCTCTGCTTTTCACCAGAAGTGGCAGCGTCTGACGTGGTCACCCACCTTACCCTCCAGACCTGGCTTCGGGTGGGTTTTGGCTATTTCGACACATCGAGTCTCTTTCAAGGAAAGGACATTTAGCCCGCTGAAGGGATTCAGAAGAATGTGCTGCAAGCTGGGAAGGTGGCTTCTAGAAAGCGAGACCAAAGGAGTTTGCAGCTACTCTGAAGGGGGCAGGATTTAGCTGGTTATGTAAGTTCTGGGATGTTGGTTAACTAACTGTTAGGAATGAGGCTGGTGGGATTCCCCTCCATTTCTGAGTGACTGGGAAGAGAGGAGGCAGCTGCATTCTGGGCCCTGCTCTGAGGGCCAGTGATCGAGGGTTGGGGGGCACACCCAGACTTCCTCTGCTGAGCCCCGGGTGCAGGGTTCCGAAGTTTCAGCTTATGACCCCGGCCTATCTCCTTTCTAGGCCTCAGCACTTCCAGTGGTAACAAAGGAATGGACTCATTCACCTCGGCCAGCTTCTCTAAGTACAGTGAGGAGAGAAACAGCCTCTGTTCTAGCTCGAGGGGCCATTTTGGGTGTTTTTAGTAATCATCACTCAGGGAGTGCCTACTGTAAGCCCCAGGCTCTGGGCTGAGCATCTCACATATGGGATCTCCTCACCACAAGCCTGTGAGGGAGGACAATTATTGTACCCATTATGCAGATGAGGAAATCCATGTTCACAGAGAGATTAAGTGACTGCCCAAGTGGAGCAGCAAAGAAGGGCAGACCCGAGTCAATCTGACCCAGACCCTGATGTGAATGCGGTTGCCACCTCCCACCACCCACCCTATGTCATTCTCAGGCCCACCCAGGATGCTCTGAGGAGGGAACAATCCTAGAATCAGGGCACCGAGGTAGAGGTAAGCCCCCGAGTTCTATAGCACTGCCCACCACTGCCACCATCCAGTCACAGAGTGGCCTACAGCGGACCCTGTCACCTCCAGAGCTGGCCCCTTCCACCCTGAGATTCGCAGCAGGGCTGCGGGCCTCTTTGTAACCCACTTTGGGGACTGTCATCCTACACAACCCTCCATGAAGAGCAACGTGCCTCTCCGGCCCCCTGGTTGAGAACACCCTGGACAGGAGCCAGACTTTCATCGGAGTATTCTGATCAGCCAGGAAGACTTTTCTTAAATTTTACTTTCTGGAGTTTGTTTAAATATAAAACTATATTATTCATTCATTTATTCAATACCTTCATTTACTGTGCATCTACTCTGCTCCGGGCTCTGGGGACCATGGTGAACAAAACAAAGGCCTTGCTCTCGTGTGGTTTAGCTTGCTTTTCCAAATAGACATTGCTAGACCCCACCCTGACGTGCACTGCCCGCCAGAAGAGATGGTGATGCCCGCCCTGTGGACTCGCTGCGGCGGTCTGGCCTCCGCTCCATCCCTGCCCAACGTTCAGTCCCTCAGTGGCAGTCCCAACAGGAGCTTGTCAGTGTCCTGCTCGAATGTGGTCGGCGATGGGGAGCTCCTCCCCCTTCCCGAGGCTCTGCCCTCTGTCCCTCTGTCCCCTCGCTGCTCATCCTCTGTGTGGAGCTGAGCTCTGTCCTCCCTCAGCCTCCACGAAGGGTCTAGGCCTGCCATCTGCCCCTCTTCACATGACATGAGAGCTGGCACCCCAGCACCCTTTCCTGGCCCCCAGAAATATACCAGGGGGAAGGGCCTGAGGAGAATTGCATTTGCTTTTCTGCCTAGCTGTCACCTACAGGGTGGGTGGGTCCTAGACCCAGGCTGTGGCCCTCACTGCCATTGCCCAAGGGCCCTGTAAGATCTGCCCAGGGCCACTGTGCTGGAGTGTGGAGCGTCCCCTGAGGTTCTTCTGTCCCACTGGAGTGGCCCAGAGAGAAGCTGAGTGTGCAGGGCAGAGGGCACTGTGCACATAACAAGCCAAAATGTCTGGGCTCCCCGCCCTTGTCACCATTCCCACACTACAGGTCCCAGTGAATCCCCAGGGGAGAGATAATGGGGCAGTTGTTGAAAAGAATATGATAATAAAGCTCATTCAATCACTGTGTCAACACTCCAGCTGAATGAGAGGCCGAAGAGCCAGGCTGGCCAGCCGGGAAGGTCAATATTGACTCAGGCCGGCCTCTTGGGCCCAGCTCCAGCTGCATGCACAGCGCCGTGGGCCAGCAGCGGCTCAGCCAGAGCAGGCCTCTGACCTCTGTTTCCTGCACTCAGAATCCCAACCCCTTCCCAGTCCACAGCATTGGGCTTCTCTGGGCATGGGGTTATCTCCAAGGGGAGAGTGAAGAGAAGCCTTCCTGGGAGGGCTGCAGGCCAGGCACCTCTTCACTGTCCCGGACCTTCAGTCTTCATCACCGAGTCCTCAGTGCCTCTCTAGAAAGGTCGTCTAGAGTCCCATAGGCAGGATGAAGTCCCCTAACCACACAAAAGGATTATGTTTTTACAGCCCCTAACTTTCTATATCTATTTTGTTTATCTCCTGACTTCATGCTCACAATACGGCTGTGAGATGGGCCAAACCTGCTTTACTGGGTGCATTTTAAAGACGGCAGGCGGCCGGGGAGAGGGAGGACACGAGAAAGGGAATATGCACACATACACGTATAAAGTAGGTACCTAGCACATGCCAGATACCGTGCTTGGTGCTTTTCTTTTTTTTTTGTTGTTTTGCTGAGGAAGATTTGCCCTGAGCTAACATCTGTTGCCAATCTTCTTCTATTTTGTATGTGAGCCGCTGCCACGGCTTGGCTGACAAGTGGTGAAGGTCCGCACCTGGGAACCAAACCCAGGCCGCCATAGCAGAGTGCACCGAACTTAATCACTAGGCCACCAGGGCTGGCCCTCAGTGCTACTCATTAGTGCATTTAAGGGTCACAACTCTACACGCAGATATTATGAGCTCTGTTTTACCGGTGAAGAAACGAAGGCTTGGAGAGAAGTAACTGTCCAAGATTATAAGTGTGGAGCTGGGATTCAAACCCAGATCTCTCTGATCCAAGCTCCTCTGTCACACCCGGCGCCCAGAGAAGTCAAATGGCTACCCCCACAGCTACTTGGGGCAGAGATCGGACTGGAAGCCTCAAGCCAGAGGC